GAAACTGCCTTATGGGCAAAATCCGGGTCTACTGTCAAGTTGAAAAAATAGAAAGTAAAAACAATCAACAACACATGGAATGAAAATTCCAAGAGAAATGATAGACTGAATGTCAGATATTTTAGGGCTTATACAAGTTCTTAAATTTTGAATGCAGCAACCATAACTTTCAAAAATTATTTGGAAATCTATACTTTAGTATGCTAAGAAGCATATGCTTTCAGTCTGTTTCTATGTGCTTTCCTTTAAACATAATTTTCAACAGATAAGAATATTAAATATTGAGCCTATTCCCTGTGTATTTTGTACTTATGTTCAGCTAAAAACTGGCGTGTTGATCTAATATCTAAAAATATTCTTAAAATGTCATATCAATGACACCTGAGTGGTAGTATCTGAGTAGGGCAGCTATTGTAAATAAATAACCTGCTATTTAGGTTACATCAACAGAATTGTGATGGCAAGACTCCAAGAAGAGCCACAAGGGGAAAATCACTTATTTCATCCTCACTTTTACTGGGGAATACCATCATAATAACCTGAGTTGCTTTTGTTTTAGATTTTTAAGTATCTCAGTGCTCTCTGAAAATGACACTGTGATCATTTTTACTACCATTATCATTTAAAATAAGCTTTCTAAGTTTCTACTTGTCTACAATACTGTTTTATCATACCAGTTGTAATTTAATGTAAATATTTTTAGCATATACTTGTTAAAATAACATAATCTCCATTTGATTAATGTTCCATTTTTCTTTGGTTGGAATTCTGACCTAATACAAATGCCTCTATATTACAGAGAAGCAGAAACTCTTAACCACAATGCAGTTTTTAGAAAGAACTGCATTTTAATGCATTTGATATTGATAAAGATTAAAGAATGGTTATAATACTGATTTTTAAAATACTTTGCACAAAGGAATTCAAATGCAATTCCAAAAATATAGATAATAAATTATGTAATGCTAGTCTCATGCAGGGATAAATGCAGGGTAACATCCAAATGTGACTACTCTAAAGATCAACATTATTTTGGTACTATAAATTCTCTAGTGGTAGTTAACATTTTACATGATTTTAAAGTCCTTTTTATTTTTAATGCAAACTCGTTAATGAATTATAACATGAGAAAACATTATAAATTGTAAGTTAAAGTTAATACAAAAGTTAACATAACTGTGTAGCATTGAAATTTAGAACATTACTAGTAACCTGTAATTGCTTCTCGTGCTCCATTCCAATCATCAAACCCCCATCCTGAACTCAAAACACTTTAGATCAATTTTGCCTTTCACTCAACTTAAGTGCAAATTAAGCTGTAAAGTCAGTAATCTTTATATATGGCTGACTTTGCTCAAAGTTATTTTTGAGAAATTCTTCCAAGTTAATTGTGTAGGTTTTATTCACTTATACCTATTGCTCGATTATATATTATACCAGTTCTAGAGTAAATAAGCATTTTGTGTTGTTTCAAATTTTTGAATATTGTGAATAGAGCCATGTTGAACATCTTGTATGCATCATTCATTGAATATATGTGTGAGACAAATACCAAGGGGTGAGTTTCAGGATCAAAGTGAATGTGTGTGTTCTACTTTATAAGATACTGCCAAATAATTTTTAGAGTGAATGTGCCAATTTATGTCAGTTGCTCCAAATGCTTAACAGTACTTGTTATTTTCTTGCTTTTTCTTTATATTCATTATGGTGGGTGTGCAGTGATAGCATCTTGTGGTTTCAATTTGCATTTTTTAGTGAGAGTACAATTGACAGGTTTTCCCATGTTTATTGACCATTTTAAAACGCTTTTTTATGAAGTTAGTATTCAAATTTTGGTCTACTTCTTGAGTAGCTTAACTGCATCTTTCTAATTCATTCTTTTTCATAGATGTCAGCGTTCTGTGCTGTTTTCAAGGTCTTGTCAGCTCAGTCCAAAAGCAATCACTGCAGATCTGAGTTCACTGTGCTTTTCTCTTTACTTTGGTCATATAGCTTGGAGATGCTTAGTAATTTTTTCTAATAATAGATGTATGTTTTTAAAAGTCTCCAAATGATATTATATCTTGAAAGACACTATGTCCTTCTCTCTGCTGGGTAGGAAGTATATTACTCATTCTCACACTACTAATAAAGAAATACCCAAGCCTGGGTAACTTATAATGGAAAGAGGTTTAACAGACTTACAGTTCCACTTGGCTGGAGAGGCCTCACAATCTTGGCGGCAGGCGAGACAGCATGTGCAGGAGAACACCCATTTATAAAGCCATCAGATCTCGTGAGACTTATTCACTACCACAAGAATATTACTGGGGAAACCACCTCCATATTCAATTGTGTTCACCTGACCCTGCCCTTGACAGGTGGGGATTATGACAATCAAGGTGAGCTGTGGGTCAGGACACAGCCAAACCATATCAAGAGAGTGAACCTTAATTACCTTAATCTAAATAGTGACTGTGCTCAGTCAATGTATATTGAAGACCCAGGAAATTGTCTACATTTGATTTCTAGTTGATCACCCAAGTTTTTTAAACACTAGGTATAGTGTTGAGGCAGAGCTCCTCTTCCAGTCAGTCCCTAAGTCTAAACCGTCTCTATTTTAGAGATCTCTCAATATTTTCACAAAATGAGAGAATTCTGCTGATTTTATATTGCTCATCTGCAAAACCTCAGAATGGCGTATGCCCGGCATGCTGGAGCTCAAGTTCTCACCAAAACTTGCTCTTCATTGCCACTAGTTTGGCAATACAAAGGCCAATTTCTGAAACATGTGTTCTTGCTCAGTGTTAACAACATCTTCCAGAATACCAGTGAACGCAGATGTCAGTTCCCCTCTCTGAAGTTCTTTCATCTCTTTCAGCTCCTTCAGCTCTCATTGCCACGCAGATCTCTCATACCTTCAACGAGATAATTTCTCTGTTTGATTAATGTTCTAGTTTTCTTTGATTGGAATGCTGACATAATACAAATGGCTATATTCTACAGAGAAGCAGAAACTCTTAGTCACAATGCAATTTTTAGGAAAGATTGCATATGTATATATCTCTAGATAGATAGATATACACACACATACACACCATGGAATACTACTCAGCCATAAAAAGAAATGAAATAATGGTATTTGCAGAAATCCGAATGGAATTAGAGACCATTATTCTAAGTGAAGCAACTCAGGAATGGAAGCTAAACATGGTATGTTCTCACTTAAAAGTGGTAGCTAAGTTATGAAGATGCAAAGGCATAAGAATAATTCAATGAACTTTGGGGACTTGTGGAGAATGGTTGGTGGGATAAAAGACTACAGATTTGGTGCAGCATACCCTGCTTGGGTGATGGGTGCATCAAAATCTCAGAAATCACCATTAAAAACTTATTCATGTAACCAAATACCACCTGTTCTCCAAAACGTATTGAAATTAAAAAAAAGAGTGTATTTATATATGTGTGTGTAAAAGATAGAAAATAAAGGTGTCTTTAATTAAAATTACATTTAAACCTACAATTTGGAGTTTGAAACATTCAGAAGGAGTTACAGGAACATATGTGTAGAACAGAGGCTCTACATAGAGTTCTTCCATGTGAAAATTTGAAATAGTCTATATAATCTACATTTAATGGATATCTATTATATGACATGCACTCATATATATTCTACTTGACATTTCCAATAGGAAAATAGATATTCTATTCTATTCTTTCACAATCTCATCAGACAATTGCTATTTCTGGGAACAGATCTAAAATGGGAGGAAAAAAAGAAGAAGAAAATTAGTTGGTTTATACAGCTAAGGGAGATAAAAGGAAGTAATGAAGTAGAAACGAAGTTCAAATCCTGAAGGCAGACTGAAATAGAAATGTGCATATGTAGAAGGAGAAGACAGAAGGAAAAGCAAATAAACCTATGGTATGAGAAAATGGATTTAGCTAAATGAAAAAAAAAGGAAAGGAAAAACCAGCCTTGTTCAATTAATTGAGTCTTTTGAATTGTTAAATAATATTTATGAAGTTATAAGCATTGATTTTTCATGTTGACTTGAACCTGATGATGAATAAATATGTTGTGATGTTTGTCACTCTACAATTTTAAAGTTTAATTTAACCTTTGCTAATAGTTTAGTGCATATTTAGTTTTACTGATAGAATTCTCTCACTTCCTAGTCATATTTTTCAAAAATGGTAGCATTCTCAGATTTCATGTGCTACTTATATCTGTTTGATTATTTAAATATATTATTGAACACTGCCTACAAATTATTTTCCACTGCAAGGCAAGTAAAAAATAATAAATAAACAGGTATGCCTACTTTATCTTATAAATTGCAATCTATATAATCTTAAAATGTTGTGATGTCCCACAATGTCAACAATTAATTTTGTTAGTTTCCCTGGACGGGTAGTGCCTATGTATTTATAGCAAGCTTTAGGCTATAAGTGTTAGAAACAAAATGGCTTGTTCTTCCTAATCAAATGCTCTTAGGCAAAGGTTAAAGCGTATCAAATTACATTTACAATCCATCAAGTATTTTCTTTTTCTTGTTAGCATAAACATCAAGGAGTAAACTTTAAAATGGAGAGTAGACCCTCATTTACTGCTGGATCTGCTATCGCCTTGAACTTGGACTTTCCATCCTTCATAACTGTGAGCAACAAATTTTTATTGTTTATAAATTATCTAGTCTAAGATATTTCCTTATAGCAGCTTGAAAAGACTAAGACATGTTCTACCATCAACACCAAATAATGCACAATAATAATGGTAAATAATTGATTTCTTATCAGGGTTTTGAAAAATATTGGTAAGATTACTGAAATCAAGCATCCTTTGATTATGTTTTAAACGTGTAATTTCAGAATATAAAATTATGTTCTAACTTCAATTTAAGTACATTACATTTGTAGAGATATACATTAAGCATTTCAATATGTAAGTTAGATAAATTGAAACAATAAATGCTGAATAGAACCTCTTTCAAATACATGATATTAGGTTAATATCATTTAAAGATGGTGCCTCACTGATGTGTCTTCACATGGTGGAAACAACAGATAAGCTCTCTCCAACATCTTTCATAAAGACACTGATTCCATTACCACATACCTTATCTCCCAGTACCATGGAACTGAAGATTAAGTTTCAGTACCTGCATTTTTAGAAGACACAGGAATTTAGATTATAGCATAACAAGTAAATGATATTCACACTATATTTTACAGTGAAAACACCAATATGCACACATGAAAATAGTAACTACTTGATTTTGCTAATATTTTCATGAAAAAATCAATTGTGAAAAGATATAGATATACCATTTCAGAGTCTATAGCTTCATTTTTTTTGTTTACAAACACTATGGAACACATTTAATAAATAGAACAAATTTTCTAAACCTAAGAAGTCCAAAAGTGGGAGTGAAGTCAGGAAGAAGTGGTAGGGGCAACCCTGGAAAATCCTTTCCTCCGTGACTACCCTGATTCAGCAATGATCACAGAAATTTTTTTCTTAAGAAATCCTGAAGATCACTGAAAGCCTCTTTCCCCAGCTGAACAGGAAACCAAATTTATCAAAGCCAGTAGGGAGATTAAGAACACCCTTTTACCAGAACCACCGTCCCCAGCATAGAATCATAAAATTGGGAAGACATCCCCTAGCTCCCAGCTTCTCTTGGGGGAGGGAAAGAGTTGGTCCAAACATCCAATATTATAGACTCTTTGTGGAGGTTTCTCGGAAAACTGTCTTTTATTTTGTGAGGCTTGGAATGCTGATGGGAACAGCACAGTTAGGCCACATTGAAAAAAATGTAGATGGCAGCTTGTGTTGGCAGTCAGGATAGCTCCTCCTCCCAGCTCAGCACAGTGTAAATGGAAGAAAATTCCTAGCTTTCAGCTTCTACCCTGGGGAGGAAAGTAGAGCCATGTGTTCAATGCCCCAGCTCCTCCAGAGCTGCCCAAGAACTTGCTTATAACCTGCCTATCAAAGAATACTAATGAATCTGATGTAAACTAGCTGCCTGGGGTAGAATACAAATGAGGCATGAGCTATCACTCACCAAAACTTCTCCCCCTAGGATCAGCACAAAGAGAATGAATGAAAAACCCCAGCTCCCAGCTTCTTTCTGGGGAGGTAAAGAATTGAATGGTGCATCCAATGACCCAGAATTTCTGGTAGCTTCCTAAGCACCTTGCTTTTATCTTACTATCCTGTTGTACAGATAGGACCTAGTTTACCCTATATACCCAGGGCCTGCAAAGACCAAAGAAAGCGGATTGGAGCTGATTGGTAAAAGTCCTCACCTATAAAAGACCAGTCTATCAAGATTGGGATACGTGGCTGCTTTGTCTAATGTAGAGACACCAACACAGAAAATTAATGAAGATGAAGAAACAGGCTAACATGCTTCAAGTAAAAAAGCAATGTAAATCTTCTGACACCAACCTTAATGAAATGGATCTGTACAATTTACCTGGTGAAGAATTCAAATTAACAGTAATAAAGATGCTCAGTGAAGTCAGGGAAACAATACATGAACAAATTGAGAATTTAAACAAAGAGATAGAAAACATTTATTTAAAGGAACAAGCAGGGCCAGTGTGGTGGCTCACACATGTAATCCAGGCTCTTTGGAAGGCCAATGCAGACTGGTGACTTGAGGCCAGAACAGCATTGACAACATTGTTCAAGACCAGCCGGGCCATAATGGTGAAAGCTAGTCTCTACTAAAATTACAAAAATTAGCTGGGGTTGGTGGTACACATCTATAATCCCAGGTGCTCAGGAGGCTGAAGCAGGAGAATCACTTGAACCCATGAGGCAAAGCTCACAGCGAGCTGAGATCTTGTCACTGCACTCCATTCTGGGTACCAGAGGGATACCCTGTCTCAGAACAACAACAACAATAATAACAAATAATAAATAAAGGAACAAGCAAATAATAGAGGTGAAGAATACAATAATTGAACTAAAAGATTCACCTGGAAGATTCAAGAGCAGACTATATTAAGTAAATAAAGGATCAGTGAACTCAAAGATAGGTCATTTGAAATTACTCAGTTAAAAGAGCAACAGTTAAAAAAATAAAAATAAAAAGGTCAGAAGAAAAGTAACTTACGGGGCACCATCAAGTTAACCAATGTATGCATTATGAGATTTTCAGGACAAGGAAGGGAGAAAGAAACAAAAAGATAATTTAAGTAAATAATGACAGAAAACTTCCCAAATCTGGTGAAGAAAATGGACATCTAGATCTAAAATTTGTGAAATCAAATGAACCCAAATAAATACACATCAAGATACGTTATAATCAAATTGTCAAAAGTTACAAGACAGATTTTGAAAGCAGCAAGGAAAAATGATTTGTCATACAAGAATGATTTGTAATCTCTATAAGACTATCAACAGATTTCTCATAAAGAACACTGCATACTGGAAAGGGATAGATTATATATTTGAAGTGCTAAAAGAAAAAATCAAATTACTAATTAATAATACTATACCAGGCAAAATTGTCTTTTAAAAATGAAGGAGAGGCTGGGCGCCATGGCTCATGCCTGTAATCCCAGCACTTTGGGAGGCTGAGGTGGGTGGATCATGAGATCAGGAGTTCCAGACCAGCCTGATCAACATGGTGAAACCCCGTCTCTACTGAAAATACAGAAATTAGCCGGGCATGGTGGTGAATGCCTATAATCCCAGCTACTCAGGAGGCTGAGGCAGGAGAATTGCTTGAACTCGGGAGGCAGAGGTTGTGGTGAGCTGAGATTGTGCCACTGCATGCCAGCCTAGGCAAAAGAGGAAAACTCCAAAGAAAAAAAAAAAAAAAAAAAAAAGAACAAGTATTTGCCAGACAAACAAAAGTTAAGAAAGTTTGTTACCAATAGACATGCCTTACAAGAAATACTAGAGGGAATTTTTCATGTTAAAATGAAAGAATGCTATACAGCAAGCTGGTAGCATAAAAATATTTTCTATATATTTACTTTTTAAATGAGTATTATTTCTTACAAATATTCATTAGGAAAGGCAAGTATATAGACTATCAGTATAGAATAATGTAATGGGTTGGTAAATTACTTTTAATCATAATAGAGGAGTTAAAAGACTTTTTTTTAAAACTTTAACAAAAATGTGCTACTACATACACAACGTAAATAGAGGTAAGTTGTGAAAATGGTGTAAAGTAGAAGGAAGAAGATACAAGTAAGTCTATTTTTGGTATGGGATGAATCTTAATTTGATATCAGCTTAAAATAGGCCTTTATAAATATATATTATTTGAGTCTCATGATAATCAGAAATAAAATATGCATAGAAGATATACAAAATAAAAAAAGAAATCAAAGCATATCAACATAAAACACCAGCAAACATAAAGGAAAACAGCCAGAGATGAAAAGATGGCCAAAATAGCTATAACATTAACATAAAATATTAAGAAAACGTCGAGTAAATCATTCCTAATCAGTAGTTACTTTAAATGTGAAGAGATTAAACTCCTCAATCAAAATACAAAAAATAATGTCAGAATGAGAAAAATAAAAAGAAAAAACCAACTATATGATGCTGTCTACAAGAAACTCACCTTAGATTTAAGTATACTCATAAGCTGAAAGTAAAGGGATTAAAAAAGACAGTCCATGTAAATGGTAACTAAAAAAAAAGAGCAGAGGTGGCTATAACTGTACCAGACAAAGTAGACTTTAAGTAAGAAGCTGTCACAAAAGAAAAATAAGGAAATTATATAATGATAAAAGGGCTGATACACAGGAACATGCAACAAATAAAAAATATATTTGCAACTAACAGAACACCTAAAAATATAATACAAACATTGGCAGAACTAAAGGAAGAAATAAACAACAATATAATAATAGTAGGGGACTTCAATACCACTTTCAACAGTGAAGAGAAACATCCAGACAGGATATCAATGAGGTAATAGAGGATTTGAACGACACTAGACCAAATGGACCTGACAGACATATACAGGACATTTCAAGCAAAAACGGCAGAATACACATTGTTTTCAAGAACCCATAAAACATTACCAGGGATGGATCAAATGTGTTTGTTTACAAACAAATCTTAAAGAAGACTGAAATCTTTTCAAGTACCATTTCTGACCACAATGAAATCTAACTCAAAACCAAAAGCAGAATGACTGGACAGTATACAGTTATGCGGAAATTAAACATCTCACCCTTAAACCACCATCGGGTAAAATAAGAAATCAAAAGAAAAAAATTTTAAAAAATGCCTTAAGAAAACAAAAATGAAAATACAATATGACAGAACCTAAGGGATGCAGCACAAGCAGTACTAAAAAGGAAATTTACTGCTGTAAATTACATTAAAATGGATGAAAAATCTCAAATAATCAACCTAATGTTACATATCAAGAAACTAGATAAACAAGAACAAAGCATGCCCAAAATTAGCAGAAGGAAGAAAATAATAAAAACATTTAAAAACAAATGAAATAAAGAATAGAAAACATTGAAGAATTATTTTTAAAATATAAATAAAACCCACAAAACTTTAGCTAGACTAGCTAAGACTAAGAGTGAAGACTCAAACAAAATCATAAATGAAAGAGAATACATTATTATTGATTTCACAGAAATAAAAAGAATCATGAGACTATTATGAACAATTACATGCCTACTAAAACTGAATAACCTAGAAGAAATGTGTACTTTTAGAAACATACAATATATCAACAGTGAATTATAAAGAAATAGAAAGTCTTAACGACCTATAAGTAGTATGGAGATTCAATCACTCAGTAATTTAAAAAACAACAACAACAACAACAACAAAGAAAAGTCTAGGATCAGATGGCTTCACTGGTGAACTCTAGTAAACATTTAAAGAAGAATTAACTCTATTCTTCTTAAATTTTTCCAGAAAATTGAAGAGAGAAGACTTTTAAACTCATTTTATAAGACTATAATTACCCTTATGCCAAAGTCAGAAAAAGGCACCACATGAAAACTACAAGATAGTCCTGATAAATGTAGATTTAAAAATGCTCAATAAAATCTAGCAAATTTTATTCAACAACACACTAAAAAGGTCATAAATTGTGATCACATGAATTTTTTCCTAGGAGGCAAGGATGGTTCAACACACAAAAATCAATCTTGT